TTTAATCTCTGGCCTGTAAGTCTCATGCTGCATATAAGCATAAATGAAAGTGAATCAGTTTAAATGCTTAACTTGACAGCAAATTGAAAATCTGAGAATAAATATAGTTCTTGACACCTGTTCCTGTTTGAATAGCTAGGGCTATAATATCATTAAATATTAACTAAAACAAATGATATATTATTAGCTATTACTTTGGGAGCTAAAGTTAAGTATAATCGTGAGAGATTCTGGAACCAAATAGAATTAATTACATACATAAATTCTTAATCTCCATTTACTAATATACAATTGTATATTTATTCTCTAGCTCAACTATTATTATTATTTATTATTATCCTGTAGTTCTTCTCCTCATATATCAGTTTTGGTGGGAGACAATTTTCTATTGCCCTCTGGTATTTCTGCATGTTTAAAAACCACTGGTCCATTTCATTCTACATTGTCTTTTAATTTTTTTAATATAATGAAACATTCTCTAAGGTGGAGGTAGTAACCCCACCTAAGCAGAAGACAGGTATAGGTGTTTACTTTGCAGAATAATAAAAATAATGACACCCTTTGGGGCATTTTGCTTTCACACATTAGAAAAGACAGGTTCCTTAAATGCACACAACACATAAGAATATCTGTGCCACAAACCTATTATGTCTACCTGGGCCACACCATGTCCTCCTCTGGGGACTTGCAGGGTAAAAGAGCAGCACACATCCAAAGTACATGTACTGGATGTGGCATGTGTGTTGCTCATCAAGGGGTCCCATGTCACTGTTCGGTGTCTATAGAATTGTAGCAGGATAGCTTGTTAGCTTGTATGTAGCAAAAAATGTTGAACCTACCACACTTATTGAAAGTTTGCTGATACTTCGAGATTCATAGTTTTAAATTATTCCTTTCAAGTCCTCAACAATATATTTTTCTCATTAGGTTGAATACTAATTTAAAGAAACTCATTCATCTCCAAGATAATAACTCAAGTAGTTCATAATTTGTACCATATTCTTTAATTAGTATTAGTTCAAGGCATAAAATCTAACTGTGCTGTAAATAGACAAAAAAATTCTTTAAAACTCCAATTAAGTGTTGCAATGATTAAGGATTTGACTTACTTGTTTCCTTTTCCTGACACATTGACGTAATTTCACCAGTTACAATGAATGACTGGGTATAAGACAGGGAAGTCGAGTGCTCACTCAGATACAGTTACTATGTTCTATATATATATCTATATAGATATATATATATTTCTATATAGATATAGATATATTTGTTTTTTGTTTATTTGTTTTTTGAGACAAGATCTCCTTACATAGTTCAGCCTGGCCTTGAACTCACTAGGTAGTCCAGGCTGGTCTTGAACTCACAGTGATCCTCCTGCCTCAGCCTCCTAACCCTTTTGATTGCAGTTGTGCACTTCCATGCCTGGTTTACATTTCTTTAAACCTAAAAAGAAAATACTTAATTATATCTTCAGTTTCTAGGGAGCTTTCATTCTCAAACTAGCTATGAAGTAATCCCTGAACTTGATTACCCCTAATAATACTAATCCAGTTTAATATATGATAAAATCAGTTTTCTCTATTTATAACTATGAAGTATGGAGAATAAAATGTACAACACAGGAGTAAATATTTGCAGTAACCTCAAAGCAAGACTAAAAAGAAGTCTGTTGCCACACCACCCTAAGTGTGCCTTATCTCGTCTGATCTCAGAAGCTAAGCATGATCGGGCCTGGTTAGTACTGGGATGGGAGATAGAAGTAAAAGGAAATGCCCTCAATACATATTCTGAAGTGTATGCACTAAATAATCCATTTATGTGAACATTTTTTTAGTTTGGAAAAATATAAGTTTAATATTTTATCTATCTAGCTATGTAGTTAATTAAAGTAACATTTTAAATGTGTTTTTATTTGGGGGGATTTTTTTTAGGGGGGTACTGGGGATCAAACTCGGGTCCTTGAGTTTGGGAGGCAGGTGACAGAACCACTGTGCTAAGTCCCCTGTCCTAAGTAACAATTTATATAATTTTTATTAGCATTATGCCAAGTATATATTATCTAATAAAGAAATATTAGTTGAATCTTAATTAGTAAGCAAATAATCCATTAATTTAAACTGTTTCAGAATCATTTCTGAATTAAAACAAGTTATTGATGAGAACACCCGATATGATTTCCATACCCCAAAAGAAAAAATATCTTGGTAAAGGATGAAGTCATAGGCATAGGCAAGGAACAGAACCTAGTTGCACAGGAAATAGTACCTAAAATCAGTAAACGGGATCATATAAAATTAAAAAGCTTCTGCATAGTACACAAAGCAACAACAGAGTGATGAGACAACCTACAGAATGGGAAAAACTTTGTCAGCTATTCTCAGACAGAGGACTAATATCTAAAATATATAAAGAACTAAAAACATTAGGCCACCCAAAATAAAAGACTCAATTAAAAAATGGGCAAGTGAAATGAATCAGAACTTATCAAAAGAAGAAAAAATGGCCAATAAATACATGAAGAAATGTTCAACATCACTGGCCATTAGAGAAATGTAAATTAAAACAACACTGAAATTCCATTTTACCTCAGAAAGAATAGGTATCTTCAAGAAATCAAATAACAACAAATACTGGAGAGGCTATGGGGAAAAATGAACCCTTTAATATTATGGGTGAGAATGTAAATTAGTACAACCACTACGGACATGAGTATGGAGAGTTCTCAAAAAACTAAAAAGGAAAATTCCATTTGTCCCAACTATTCCCTTTCTAGATATTTCCTCAGAAATGTTAAAGACATCATATTACAGTGATACATGCATATCTATAGTTATAGCAGCACAATTTATAATAGCTAAATCTTGGAACCAACTTATATGTACATCAACAGATGAATGGATAAAGAAAATGTGCTATTACACACAATGGAGTACTACTCTAGCATAAAGGATAAACCTGAGTCATTTGTAGGAAAATAGTTGCAACTTCAATCCACGATGTTAAGTAAAGTAAATCAGCAAGACAAGCTTAAATATAGCATGGTTTCTCTTACACGAGAGACCCAAAATATAAATAAAGAGAAACATAAAAGATAAATAATAGGAAGTAGGGCAATCAATCTTTCTCAAATGGGACTGGATCAAGAGGTAGAGGAAGAGGAGAGACAGGGGAAAGAGATGAGGAAAGAATTAAGATGTGTTATATGCATAACAGCTCCCTACATGGAAAGTAATCACTATGTACAGCAAACATGTACTAATATAAAGTAAAAAAAAAAAAAAAATTTTTGAACAAATGTCATAAATTGAAAACTGTTGTAAGTAAAACAAAACAAAAAAACCCAAAACCTTAATTTTGGAAAACTCTGTTGAGATTTCTTACTGTATTATTGGAATTCTTTATACTGACTATGAAACATTTTCACAAAATACCATAATATTTTATAAGAAAACAACCATGCTTAATTTTGTTTTATTTCTGTAATGCTTAATACAGTATTACCTAAAGCAAGACATTTCTTTTAGTTAAAGTACATTAAATATTTGTAAGCATGTCTGAAAAGGTTCTAAATTTATGCAGTTATGTGGGGTTAAGGTTTAGATGTCCAGTTCAATGTCCGCCAACACCCTCTTGTGCTCCAAAGCAGGGCTTCTAGAAAGTGAGTGGTTCAGGAGGGTGCAGTGCTCATCAGGAGTTCACCCACTGTAAGTTGAAGAGCTGAGGATCCTGGTGGAGGAGGAGCTGGTTAGAAGCGGGTCACCGGGGCTCCTGGGAGGGTGGATCTTGTCTCCTTCCCTGGCTCCTCCCTTCCTTCTCTGCTTCCGGTCTCTATGACTGAGTAGCTCTCCTCCACCACGGTATCCGCCATGCCACTCCATCTCCTCGTCAGCACAGGATGGACTGAAAACTCTGGAAGTTGGAACCAAAATAAAAACCCCTCCTCCTTTATATCATGGGTCTTGGGTATTGTGTCTGAGTAAAAGGGTGAAGTGACTAAGTGGTGAATATTAAATCAGAAATACAACCGCATTTAGTCACATTCTATTTTATGTTCATGTTATTTCATTATACAGTGCAGGTATGATACAAAATATATTGTATGTCATTTCTTAAATATGAACATATTTATTTTTCTTCACTATTAAGTGAATTACATAAACCAAGAATAAACTACTATTTAAGTTTTTAATACTGTTCTTAATCATGTATAATATATAAATTTCAAAGTAGTTGAATGTGAAACAAAGATTTTTATTAAATCTGAAAAAATTTATACTACATACATCATTTATTTTATCTGATTATTAATAAAATTCAAAGTACAATAAAGTTCTCTCATTCAAGATCTAGTGTAATCCTATTACTAAAATAAGACAAATTTAAAAGCTATTATATTGTCGCCTATAAATCCATGTTGCAAATCATTAAATTACTTCTTGCAGGTCACTGATTTTCATTACACAATAAAAAAGTAATAAGGAGACTTGTTATCATTTGTTATTCAAGTCGCAGTTTGAGATGTTTAAAGCCAAAGAAAATAGTCAAGTACATTGTATGAGGCTTATTAAGATTACCACTGCATTTCTTTTGATCATTGCTGCAATACTAGGGTATCATTCATGCAATTAAAAGAATAAAATGAAGACACTAAATGTCTACATTGAAAAGAAGAAGAAAGTTTTAAAAACTTTTTGTTTTCATTTGTGGTGGCTAATTTTGGAAATTACAAAACCGCCTTTAAGTGAATGTACATTAAAACTGGCAAATGTCTCAGATAATACAAATATTACTTGATCTGTTCAATATTTCAAAGATATCGCATGATAGAGAACTTTTCCTTCTACTAAGGTGAAGATGGCCTTGTGTCAGTTACTTGGAGCCACAAAACCAAGGACAAAACTTACTGGCTTAAACCAATGAATGCTGTTAAGTCAGTATTTCAAGCTGAGATCAGCTGGACGATTCTTTGGACCTCACCTGCCTCATTCATGTAATTGCAGACTAGTTACCTCTTGGGTGGTGCGTACAGGCATCTTTGGTGACAATGGCCCTTGGGTACAAAGGCTCTAAGGAAGAGAGAGAATAGCATGTGAACTCTTTTGATGCCCTCACTCAGAAGAGACATTGAACTCCTTCGGTGGTTCTCATCAGCAAAAGTAGGTCAAAGACTTAAATATTTTTAAGCAAACCCAAAGATGGTTTAATATTACACAGACATATTTGCAATGATAAACACATATATGTATGCTACTTGGGAGAAATTGTTATGGAAGCCATGGTAATTGTAGTAGTTTGCAACCAATTTTAAAGATTTTTTTCAAGTGGATGTGTATGTGAGTGTGTATGTGTATGTGTGTGTGTGTGTGTGTGTGTGTGTCAGTGGGTGCAGAGGGACTGAAATACCACAAGAAATGAAAACCAGAAGCAGGCAAAGAATATAAAATTGAAAAGTCCTACTTCATTAGTGTCTTAGGCCCATGATTCCACCATGAATGGCATCCTGGTGACCTTGCGTATATCTACATAGGCCACTCCAGCAAAGGTTTGAACCGTAGCTAACCTGAGCTTTGGTTGAACACCTTGTGATACTCCTGGAACATAAAATGAGAGAAGTTTGGGAGTAGCCATGAAGAATTCACTTTCACTTCTTAACAATACCCACGCGAAGCTGTCGTGCTTCAGCTTTTTAATCTTCTCCCAGGTTCTGATGGAGAATGGGGGTTTCTGCTCTGCACCCCGTAGGTTGTACCTGTCACCTGTAAATGGAGTAACTTCCAGAATCAGATTTTAGGAACAAGGTGTCCCTTTTGTTTCAGTTCCACCCTTTTAGTACATAGGTTGAGGAGCACAGTAAATTGTGTGTGACCTAGAAGCGGCTGGCTGTGCTTTACTGGCCAACTCTGCCAGGCTTTGGCTTTGGCCTTGTCTCCTGCTCTGTGTTTGGCCATGTGCTCACTCTGGCTTAGTTTCTCTTATTTCGCTGTTCTTTCCCATCACCAAAACCAGAAAACCACAGTCAGTGTTTCTCCCTGACAACATCAGATCTTATACTCTACGGAGCTTCCAAGAAAGTAATTGGCTTGGTTTCAGGAGTCCAGCGTCGTGACATGGACAAATCCCACGTGTACTGTTTGAAACCACAAGAGCATCACTGTCCTCACAAGCTCCTCAGGAAGATTCTTCCTCATCTATCTGAATCAATATCATAACAGGAAATGTGAACCTCTGTGAGCCCTTACATGTGCTGTGATCTTACACTGTCCTCTACCCGGCGGCTAAGAGAAGTCTTTCTCCGCTTCTGTGTCAAGTGCAGACATCTCTGAGGCTGAGCATAGTGAATGTAGGCTAGAAATACCAGGTGCCACTCTCTAGGTTTTTGGCTGTAAATAGTGTCTCCTTTGAAATTTACAATCTCCTAAGGTGTGGAAATAGCTCACTCCACACTCTGGCCCTCACTATGAATATAACAGGCAGACGACGTCAATTGTGGGCTGACAGGCTTTGCTTCAAGAGCATTTTGAAATTGAGGTTTATTGTAAGAATATTTGTTCCCATGTGAGATATTGGCCAGGAAAAAACTCATTTTCATGAAATGTTGCTAGTTTACACAAGCCCTGTGGAATTTGTTTAATAATTCTTAAATGGTACAATCATCAAACACGGTTAAATCAAGAATATATACTTTTATATATTATCTACAAAGATTTCTTTTGTTTGTCCTTGGTTGGGAGTTTTCTGTATGTTTTATAAACTTTTAAAAATTGGTCATAGGTTTGCAATGTGTTTTCACCAAAGTTGGAATATATTTGCATTTTTATTTTATTGGAAATTTTCAACTTCATTCTTGAAATGCAATTCTTATTATTTTACCCTGCTGTATCTGGCATATACATCTTGGAAAATATTTTATCTTTTTATTGTATCCAAACCATTATAATTTGTGACAGCACATTACTGTTTTCTAACTAATATGACAACTGAATGTGTAAGATATACTGATTGATTCAACCTACATACTGTTTTTCAAGAATACATTATGTGTACTTTCTAAGGATTTGGAATATTACAGTTCCTGTATTTTAATATTTAGCATACTTTTAGCAAAATATCATAATTCTATTAGTATCATAATATTTTAAATGGCAAATTGGGATATGATTAACCGTAGTTAGCAGGAGAAAGCAATTAAATACTCATATATAGAGATTATCCTCAAAGCTGTCAATTTTATTTTTCCTTCCAGAGAAACCAGCAATTTTGACAGGTGAATTACAGCAATGATGCAATTTCTCCAAGAACAGTCAAATTGATTTTTAAATAAATTTGATTCATCATAATTTTTAAACTAAAGCCTCTTGCATTCTGAGTTAACCCAGAGATTTTCCTCCAGGAACATCACTTTGTGGCAGGAAAATGTATTGTTTTATTTAGGCACGTAGTCAAATTCTAAATGAGTGAATCCAATTCTAAGCATGTGAAGATATTTTTAAAAGAATAAAAAACACTCAGGTACTTCTAAAATGAATTCTGTAATAATAGCTAGTAGTTCCTCATAAAAAGAACTATGAATCATTCTAAACCTAATTACAAATGGTTTTGTAATTTGTTGTGGTGGTTGTTGTTTTGAGACAGGTTCTCCCTGTGTTTCAGGCTGGTCCAGAGCTCACTGTGGAGCCCAGGCTGGCCTCAAACTTGTGGTGCTCCTCCTGCGTCACCCTCCCAAATGCTGGGGTTGTACGTATGTAACTTTCATTTTTACTTTTTATGAGATGGAGGATATTTTTCCTCTTTACCTAATCTCATTTTTATGCCAATTTACAAAGAAAATTTGGAGGAGCTCAAACTCCAAATTGGTTATTACATGGTCCTGGGAGTAATTAAGTACTCTTAAAAATTATAAGAAGTGAATAAAGAGTCTGTGATTTGGATACAATTATTATTCATGTTTACTTTGTACTCTTCTCATTAAGTGCACTTTGCAAAAAAAAAAAAGACAATGAGATATGTTTCCAAAAACTTCACCTTTATGTGCAAAGAAGGCCCTTCTGTTAATGCAACTTTATGGTGGTAGTTTTTTGACAGTTGACATCTCTAGTTTAGTATTTATCCTTATGATCACAATATTATGAGCACATTAGGGAGATTATTTTGTCATTTTATAAGCTTAACAATTATCATAAGAAAGGAATATTACTTAAGATAAAGAGATAATGCAAAAATATGCTCAAAACCTGCAAGTTTAATATTGTAAGTCTTTTAAAAATCACATGACAAAAAATCTTATGAATGATACTGGAAATCAAACATGTCCTCAACTTTCCTCTCAGGAATAAATAGAAGTTATTGTAAATACCTGTATATAATCTTGACAAAATTCTCAGAGGTCAACAGAAAAGATTTCGAACTGAGGGAGAAAAACAATTTACTTAATTCAAAAGTATAATTTACAACTAGAGTTAATAATCTAGGACACCAATCCTGAGCTAAGAAGACATTATTCTTTCTTCAGAGCTGAAAAAGTACACAAAGTTAAATATGTGCCTTTTACAAAAGTGACATTTAGCACATTAAAAATTTTGGAAAATAAACTTAGATGAAACAAGATTAAGAAGTGAAGCCCACTCTCTTCTCTTTGGCTTCAGGGATCAGTTTATAGGCAAATAAATTTGATGCCAGGTTCCCCCTCAGCATTAAGATTCTAACAGTATCTTGGATTCTGTTCCATTAGTTGCCTACAAAATTTTATGTGAAATTGAAGTCAGAAAATGGGTTGAATCTGCATTACATATATAACCAGACACATTTTTAAACCTCCAAATAGTCCCTCTTATATAAAATCTAATCATGAAAATTGGTTGTTGGAGAACTTTAAAAATTTTTGTATGAAATAAATCATAAAAGAAATTCATGGATTGGCCAAATATTTACTAAATGTTATCTAAGTAACTGTTATATAAAAATGAATCAAAACTTAGACATCTATAAAATAAAGTATATTGAAGGGTGAACTAATTAAATATTTACGCATTTAAGAGTAGTCTGCTGAACACTCAGCATAAAATATTTGAGTATTAGCCCTCTGAAGGAGAAAGAATTTCCTAAGCTTAGATGCAATGAAAGAAATAATGATACCTAACAATTAGCTATCGTTCTCTATAGAATTGGTGTTTCACTGTTTAAATAATAAAGCATTTCATCTGTAAACCAGCTCTACAAGGCAAGTATTAATTATCATCTTCCCTTTATAGATGAAGAATTTACATCCCAGAAAAATTAAATAAATTATCAAAAGTGATGTAGTTAATTCCAGAGTCAGGATTTTTAACTCAGGAATTCTGATTCCAGTGCTCATATTACTATGTAAAAATGTGCACAAAAAAGAAAAATTCAGCAAATATAAAAGTAAAATATTAACATATTTGTTATATAATTCAAGCACACCTTTGGCAACAGCAATGGTGAATGTGCTTCCCCAAATCAGTAGACCTTTAGAGCCAGAAGAGTAAAACCAAATATGTGTAAATTTTAAAAATATCTTTTTAGAAGTACAAGGGATCTGAGAAAGAAATGCAGATGATTACAATAGAATCTGGGTTACAAATTTAAGAAATAATCTCTCTGGAAGGGACAGTGTTAAAAAGAGCCCTCTTAAATATCTTTGAGGATAAATGGAACCTGTAAGCCTAAAAATAAAGAACTGCTGATAAGAATTGTACATAGTTGATAAAGTTGTTTATCGTAGGTATAGCGATTAACAATTTTTCTACTGCTGCACTGTGTAGTGAAATTGAATGATTAAGCAATTGGACAGCAATAATAGAAACTTAGTTTCTCTCTGTTGGTATGGAAGTTTGCAGAAAAACAGAGTGGGGTAACATATGAACTTCCTTTTAAGTTAATGTGGATACACGTGGTTACGAGAGAAAGACCCCCAAGGTGAGGCAGTAGTAGACAGAAGACTGAGACAGCAAAATAAACCCTTGGGTTCAGTAAACTATTATCTTTTGTAGCAGGGTGTATTTCAACACACCAGTTATGAAGCCTTGATCAAAACTACAAAAATAAAACGTTTACATGAAATGAGAAACTGTTACCACGGGGGGAAAAAAAAGCCTCAATAGGCCCTGTAGCCTCACTTGGTCTTAGTGGACTTAAGAATGACTGAGAAATACATTTCAGTTTCTCCCTAACGGAGCTTTGGATAATACCTGTGACACGTGTGTTGTGATAACAGTTACCTAGCTTACTTCTCAGGCCCTCGCAGCCCACTTCTTCTAAGAACAATGACCCTCCTCAGCCCTGCAGATGTCTGACGGTGACCAGAAGGGGACAAAAGCTTGACCTTTCTCTCTCTTTTGTCTCTCTCTCTCTCTCTTGCTGTTTTAATCACTGGATGTTATTCTACTCAGCTCTGCACAAACTCATTGATTATTTAATAAATGTTTTATTCAGGAATATAATACCCTGTTAACTTGGCCTATTGCCCATTGGAGCTAGTATGTCTTCCTTTTCTTTCTCCTCTCTTTTCTGCCCCTACACTTGTGTTTCTTCAGAAGCCTTTAAAGCCCAATCACATGAAATTTTTCAGCACTATTATAGGACCCAGACACACAAGGCCAACGTTTTGCACAGAGTGATGACTATGTACACAGAAATTCAGTAGCCTCCAGGATAAGTTGATTGTGTTCCACGTCCATTGCAAGCAGCATCTTTTGAACCATCCTCCTAGTACTGGACCTGGCAAAACAATAAAAACCTTCTGGTCTCTTTCTTCTAGAGGCAGCAGCCTAGTTACTCTTTTGACCAACTGCTGACTCCTTTCAGCTGCAGCCACAACTTAGTCAATGTCCTTCCACCCCAAGAAGGCTCTACTGTCTGGGATGTGTGTATGTGCTTGTAGCACTTGGCCCAGAGTCATTTTTACCATTTCTAGATCCAGTGAGCCCGTTGCCGTTTATCAGGTACATAGAGAGACATTTACTGGCATGTCTATGAATATGTTTGTATAAAATATGTTGGTATAAAACCTCTGACAGCTGAAGGGGCCTGAACCAAAGACACCCCACAAACAATGAGCATCCCCTCCCCTTTGGTCTCTACAACCATTCTCTAATAAAAGCAAACAGGAATCTTTGCAGAAACAAATTTTAGGAGGGGACAGAAAATACACAAGGTAAGTTATGAGACTCTTGTACTAGCACAAATCAAGAAAATGCTAAAAAAAATAAAAATACTTTTATGGAGCTATTTCAGTGTAGCACAGCAATCAATTGAAAAAACATACCCAATGGCCAACATTAGAAAATTGAGCAACAAAATTTTAAAAGCAGCATTGCATTATAAACTAAAGTAAAAAAAAATAAGTAGCTATAAGACTAATCTAAAATAACTGAACAAGTTAACAAATGTAGGAGAGAAATTTCCTACACAAAATTATTCCACATACTCTATGTAGATATTGAACCCTCAAAGATGCAAGCATAGCCCCATCCTGAGCTGTGAGCTGCTCCGAGTGACTTCCTTCTGAAGTTTATGTTGACAAACCGGAGGAAAATAAATGCATGACTGAGGAACTTGATGAGCACAATCTCACGTAGGTGACCAAAATTTAGTTAAACATGAATATAAATTATATTAATAATATAAACATTTGATATGATATAATAAAAACAATACCTTACATCGAAGGTCTTCTTTTCAATAACTAATAACCTCAGATTTATTATAAGAAAGACATGCCACTCAGCCATTAAGAATGAGAAACTAGAGACATTCATTGCTAAATGCATGCACATTGAGGTGATACTCTTAAATGAAATAAATAGGACACACACGTAAATACTGAAAAGTTTCTCTAGTGTGAGAAACTGAAAGTGTAAATAAGGACTAAAAGGTGTAATAGGTAATGTGAAATAGGAAGAAAAGGGGCAAAGGGGAAGGGGAAGGAGGGGTAGGGGAAAGGAAAGAAGGGAAAGGAAAAATTATGAGAAATAGAAAAAATGGAAACAAAGTCTTTGTAGATAGGGAGGGGTGGAGGGGTGAAGGGAGGGCATGGAATGGGAAAAAAATAAGAACCAAGAGAGACTATGTAAAGGTGCAAATTTCCAATGATGAATGTCATTATGTTGTACACCTAAAATGAACCAGTAAAATTAATTTAAAAAAAGAAAAACATGCCATTATTGGGGTATTCTATAAACACTTGACCAGCGTATTATTCTCAAGGTCACCAGAATTGAAAAAACTGCCACACCCAAGCGTATCTAAAGATAACTAAACATGTGGTGTTATTAATGATGGGATCCTAGAATCAAAAGGGACATTAGTTAAAATGTAAGAAAATCTAAAGAAATTATGACTTTAAGGTCATAGTAATTTGCTGGTATTGAGGTATCATTTCAACACATGTATTATATACTGCTATTCATTATAGGGAAACTAGGTGTAGGAAATATAGTGAATATACTATTCTTTCAGTTTTTCTGTAAATCTAAAACTTCCCTGTGAAATTGAGTCTGACAAAACCAAGAAAGTGTGTCTAATAGTGCCTTTGCAAGAACCAGATATTATGTATGAGGAAGAACTCTGAATACTACAGAACTTCATACAATCCGTGTAATTCCTTGTTCCAAGAAATTTCACGTGCTTCTGGTTTCACAGGTGTTAATACTGTACTTCTTAAATTC